TGCAAGGACCACAGCAGTATAGCGTAGTGTGTCCTTCCCTCAAGGGGAAAAAAGGTGAGCCAAATGGCTAATTTTCCATCCATGTATATGTGTGCCCAACTCATAAGAAAAGCATATGTACATGTGCATCAACACATGACAGAGGAAAAGCACTGTGAAATCGAGTGCAAAGAAATAAGTTTTTAGTATGTATAGTACCCTAGCTTTACATATATCCATATATACACGCATCCATGGGCACACACACACCAATCAAGTTACCAACATTGCAGACTTGCAGTGCGATGCGAGACACTGCGATAGATGGATAGTATTACAGTGGTGGCACCATGTCATTTTGGGGGCAAGAATCTAAGGCCACACGCATTGATTGGAAGCACGAGCACGAAGAGGGGAACAGCAGAGATTGATGATACAGTACTACAATATACTAGTATATGTGGATGCAACTAGAGACATGCATGCATGAAACGGCTTTCCTTCAGGCCCGGCTAGTCATGTGAAGGAGCGTCCCGTTTCTCGATCCGTGTTGGCTTTGGCCATGATGGAGCTCATGTGAACAGCGTCTCCCAAACAACATGTATATGCATCCATCCATGATACAACTCTGCCTAGTGTCTGCTATCCCTGCTCACAAACCGCATATGACTTGGCCGGGGGCCCTCGATTTTTTATCGCTTTTGGTTTTATGAAATTGTTCGCATGTAAGCAGAGACAGCGAGGATTTCGTGTAATACCACCATATACAACAAGTTCAAAGTGTGTGTGACCTGGTCGAGTGGTCGACAGACGACAGCGCTAGGACCATGCCCGCTTGCGGCTTGCCAGTTGAAGGTACTAGCTTAGCTACCACCGATCGTTGGAGACGACGGAATCCACGTTCTGACCGCTCTTATCATTTACTCCCTCCAGTTGATCATCAATGTGCGTGTGTCATTCCGGATAAGCATCTCGTCAAACGCCCGAATTATTTATGTGCCACTGCCTTCTCAAATGTTTATATTTGGATATATGTAAAAGAAAATCAAATGCGTAACGGTTTTACAAGTATTTGACTATAGATTCCAGTACGTAACGGTTTTTGAATCCTTTACTTTAATCTTTTTGTATTTTTTTATAACTTGTGTGCATATGGCATACCCTTCTATTGAAGGATTCTAACACGTTAGGAGCGTCTCCTACGGTTTCTTGTAAAAAAAAAAGAGGTCGTACATGGAATACCATGTGATGATGTCTTAATAGACATGTATCTGTACTGGAGGGAGTACACAGATCAGAGAAGTTGGGCAAAAACAATTAATTACATGTGGAATACTACTTCTTAGAGCAAGTATAATAGTGAGCTATAAGCTTACTATAAACTTATGTGGAGGAGAGATGTAACAAAAAGTTAAGGGTGTTGGCTCTCATGTAAGAGCTAGCTTAACACAAGCTCCAAGACAAATATAATTAATGTATAAGTGAGAGATAGAGAGAGGAGAAGAAAATTATAGCCAACCTTATAGCTATTTATTATATGTGTTGGCTTTAAGATTGGCTAATAATAGGAAGTGAGCTTTATTATTATTCTTTGCTCTCAAGGACTCGATCCGGTTCGTTTTCTGTGATCTTTGTACAATCTAGTACTGGTACTACAACTACTAGTACAATCTCCGATCCAAGGATGCATGCAGCGTACAGGAAATGAGGAAGCACAATCTTGGACGCTGCCATTTAGTAGATCACAACAACTCCATGATCTAAGCAGTACACAGAAACAGAGCATGCATGGCTCACACATCACACACTGAGGAAGGAGGGAGAAGAAGATATTTACTCCTAACCAACGTAGCTAATGCTCATAATTAGCCCGTGCCTGCTGCTGCTGCCGCTGCCGCATACGCTGGCACATGATCGGCTCCGCGACACGGCCAATGATCATGAGTTGCTTAATTGCATTTAAGCATCTTCCCCGCTGGCGATTCCGTCCCCTTTTTTCTCCAGCACAACACATGTTTTTTTCTTTCTTTTGGGAGGCCTCGTTTTGGATTAAGACTTCAGTTTTATTGATGGAAATACGAGACGATGCTGGGTGTTTGGCGAGCGGCAGCGTAAAGCGCAGCGGCGTCACGGCGAGATCGGTAGGAAGGGAAAGCAGAGCAAAGCAGCGTAGCGTTGCGCCTCGGATTCCACCGGGAGAGGCAGAGGCCGTTGGTGGGGGAGCTGGACGGGGCACGTGCGACTGAGGCGAGGAGCACATGGGGGGGGGGGGGGGGGGGGGGCTTGACTTGGGCGCGAGCCGCTCGCTTTTCCCACCTACGAAAGCAAAGCCAAAGCAAGGCGACTTGTTTTGCGGCTTGAGATGTGTACTTGGCCTGGCTGATGCTGCCTGCGCCCCGCCTGCTGCCCTGTGAGGGCACCCACAATGGTTATCTATAGGCTCTCTATAAGAGATCCATGTTAGCATATTTTTCTACTTAGAAGGTATTAAATAAAGAGAGAGAGCAAAGGTATCTACTAACTTAGAGATAGTCTATAGAGAAAAACGAGACAATGCATGAGAGAGCTATAGATACTAATATAGACATACTATTAAGGTGGTTTACTATTAATCGAGTCTATTACTGAGATGTATATGTTTTACAGAGACCAACTTACTTTACCATTGCCGAGGCGCTCTGAGTGTTTTGTTTTTCCGGGTTACTTTGGTCACACGTGACTACGTCAGCGTGTGGTGATTAGCAACGCTGATCGAGTTGTCTATTCAGGGTTTGTTCCGTCACTGAATTCAGTGTCTGAGCCAAGAATCTTATCCATGTGGTTATGAGGGGGGGGGGGGGGGGGGTCAATTAGCACTATTTCAAATTTAGTCGGGCTGTCCTGTTTGTTTCTATGGAATCACATGTAAAACTAAAGCAACCTATGGGTGGTTTTAAAAGATTGTGGGATCAGCTGATCCTAATACCCCATAGTTAACATATGGATATGTTTGTTGGGTGAATTGTATGCTTTATTATTACATGTTACTCGAACTATATAATTTTGGAAAATATGACACTACATTCCAAGATTTCACGAATTTTTCATAATTTATAAAATTCCGCTTCTACAGTACTCTCAAAATGTTTTTTATTTCTAAGATATATAACAAATCATGGCCATAATTCATGTATAAAAAGACAGTATTATAAGAAGATGTTTTACATAGTAGTTCTAGACTTTACACGGGTGCTTGTATTTACGACTAATTATTTTTTCAGTGGTAAGTGATGCATCCGTCAATATTGAAATGCATGTGGTGACTTTATAAATCTTAAGATATAATCTTTCCATTTCAAAATATAAAACACAACTACTCTTAACTCAAAGAATAGGAAACATTTGTTATCACTCTTTATTTGGATCACTCCAATAAACACAATGCATGCATTCAATAGAATTAGAAATTTTGAGGGTGAATGATTTAAAAAATAATAATTTAGTGGAAAGAATGTGTTAGTTAATTGCATGCATGAATGCACTCGTTGCGTTATGAAACATCTTTAAAAAAATAGTTTGTGGTTTATATTTTGGTACGAAGGAAATTCTCATAGAAGTATGGGTGTATGTGTGTTCGTATGACAATAAGTTAGTATCAAACCAAACAAGCCTTAATTAGCCCGCATGTTTACATTGGACTGTCTTTGGAAAAGAGAAAAAGAAAACCATAGGAGCCAGGAGACAAAAGCAATGGCTGTGGTTTGGTCGATTTCCAAATAAAGCCCCACAAGTTCGGTTAAGGGTTGGGTGGATCGATACAGCCGCCGCTCCTAGATCAATAGGAATATATGTCATCCTGCACCGGCCGTTTGGAGCGTGGGCAAACAGTAGCAACGGATAGAAACGGGCCAGCCAAGAGCACAAACAGAAGGACGCGATCGCCAATGCGATCCCATTTCAGGCCAGCATCCTTCCTCTCTCGCTGCAAACAACCCGGATCAAAGCAGATCATGGCCTCCGATGCGAAATGCTTCCGATCTCGGCCAAGCCAGAATGCGTCCCATCTCTCGCCTCCTTCTTTACTGCCTCTCTCTTTTCAAGTGAATGAGCGAGCGAGTGAAGAGTAGTACATGTGCACGGAAAGGATCGCGTCACATGATGAAGAGCGGGGAGAGCGTGATGGCTGCACTGGCTTTTCGGGACAGTTTCAAGGGGGAGGGATCCAAAAAGAAGCCGAGCTTTGAGTGTAGATGAGGACCAAGCTGGTATAGAAAGAAAAGCCCTAAATCGCCTCATTGGTGAAACGGGGAATAACAAAAGAGGAGATGATCGAGCGTGTGTTAAACCGGGGTTGCTTTGTGGCCAAATCACCTGCCATGCTTGTTGGAGCTTCATGTAAAAGCTTTCACTGCTGCCCTTTTGCTGTACTACTGTTACTTCCAAGGCAAAGACATTTTTTTTCCCCGCCCGTGATGCACAGGGCCTTTTTGTTGGCTCACTGACTGCACTCCCGGGGTTTTTCCATGTTCGAACAGTAGCGTGCTCCTTTTATCCTTTGCATGGTGTCATGATCGCATCCTCTTGGTGGATATGGAAAGTGCTGAAGGCAAGGAGCAGGTGATAATCATGAGATAGCGTGACGACGGCGGCTCGGTTATTCTGTACTAGAGGGTGCGCGCGCTGCCGTGCAGGTACAGGACGCTTCGTGCTCGGTGTCGCACGGACGTGTGTCGCGGCGTTGCTCTGATTCTAGGAGAAGGTGGGCCGTGGGCGAGGTTGGAGTGGTCCAGCCTGCGTTGGTCTTTGCCTCGGCCCAAAAACTGTACAGTTTTGGGTTAAGCCACTTCTGTTTTCAAGACGCTACAAGGCCCAACTCACTCAAGTGATTTTCCTTTTATTTTATTTTCTTGTTTCTGAGAGGAAAGCTGATACAATGGTTGATCAGCGATTAATGAGCTCTAAACGGGATGGCTTCAGGAAGCTATTCATCAATCAACCGACTTTTAGTATTTTGACGAATCAACAAATTTCTTGCTATCCGCTTTAACGAATCATTGAACACATAAGCCATGAGGAAAACACGCCTGTATAGCAGCAGAATGAGAAAAAACTACACTCAGAAATGCCGAGACAGCATCTCTGCCACTGATAAAAACTTTACAACGGACGAAAATAAACACACCGTTTATTCTGTTCAATAAAACAGGGTGAAAGCAGAAAAAAAAGGCAGAAAAATCACCTTTTTCGCTTGGATACTCTCGATTTGCTAGCTACGCGTGACGCAGATTTCTTCGTCGCTTTGGGCATTTCGCACTGGGGGCACAGCCAGTCATGTTCTGGGACAGCTTCCAGGGGAGGGTCGCAGCAGTCGATGTGCATACCTACACCGCAGCCGGTCGAGCCATCCTCGTTGCCGCAGATGAGCATCACCTCGCCCCGGTCCGTACTCCCGCACGCCGAGCAGCTCAGGTCGTCGGGATCTCCGTCCTCCTGTGGCTTCAGTACATCTGTGGCCACCTCTTGCTGGTTTTGCAGTAGTTTCTTGAGGGACTTGTTGGCCAGATCGTTTGTGTTGAAGAGAACATGCCTGTCGAGCGGATGCCCATGCTTGCAGACGTACTCAACAAGATAATCAGCAGTGATACAAGGAATATCGTGACTGATGAATTGTTGAACCCATGCGTCTGCACTTGGCATGGCCGAAGATACCACAGCGAAGTCGACGCCAGAGTTCAAGAACCGTGTGTACGGTGGCGAGGTTGCTAAGATGGTGCCATCGCCAGATCGTACTGCACGCTTTACTGTATCCTGGAATGGAAGGAAATTTGAAAATTAGATTAAAATGGAGAATGGATCACAATGCGCATCAATGTATTATTGTTTTTTCTTTCAGAAAAAGGTGAAGTTGTGCTCTCAGATGATCTGCTTGGACTAACAAGTCTTACCAGCGATGGACTAACGAGCTGTCCATATACAATTATCTGCATCCCATAGAAGGCACCATGGCCCATCTGCTGCCTCAAAACACGCCATTTCTTGGGAGCTTCAAAGCTGATTGTTTCCCCGTCATTAAGGCCTGTACCAGACCATTCAAATGGTTCTTCGTCCAACAATTTGCCAACCTCATTGCAAGAGGTCAAGTAATCAGTTTTCAGTATCCACCTATTGAGTAAAGTAGGAACATTAGTCATGTGCATCAGCATGTAGCATTATAACATGTAAATAAAATATAAGCCAGATGCATATGTAGCAAAAAATATAAAATAATAAGCTAATATAGCTGCCCACTTCAAAATAAAATCTTAAGAATCAACATTGCAGTTCTTACTTGCCAGCTGCTGCAGCTGCAAAGAATTTTTCAGTTCTCTTGAGAGGGTCTGGGGCAATAAAATGTGTCGCTTGGTATGACCAATGATGTGAATCCCTGCAAACTCGTGCCTTCAGGCACCGAAGTATTGATCTATAGTCCTTTCTCTGTTGGCGATGTCCACTTAAAATAAAACATGTAGGCTCAGGCGTGATCAAGGTGCCAGGTCCGTTTCCTTTTATTCTATTGGGCTCATTGAACATATTTGCACCGTGCTTCATCGAATTTGCATCTAAGTTGGAATTCATAATAGCAGTTCTACCATTGGATTTAGAACTGAGAGTACCATTGTCTTGCATATTCTCCTTTTCATGGTCTAAAGAAAGAGATTTATTTCTTTTGCTGCATCTCAACTTAGAGTTATTCAGATTTTCTGACCTGTCTATCACAGAAGTATCACTCGAAAATAATCCAGATACATCTCTCATTCCATCGGTCTTCACAGAATTTTGATCAGAACTTACTTTGTTGATGTTGCATGAGCTTTCTTCAATTCCCCTTGATGCCACAGCTTTAGCTGCAGATACAATGGCACCACCAATTTTTCCAAGCTTGCTGTCTGACTTGTCTTCTAGAGCTTTTATTTTCCTCTTGGCAACTGCATTCCTAACTCTGGCAGGCGATGCATTCTTACAGGATAGTGATCCACAGCCGTCAGCACTTGCACTACTTGAAAGCTTTTTAGGGTGATCAATGTTTTGGGAAGGAAATAAGTCATCAAATAGTGACTTGCCAGCCACTGTTTCAGTTTTATCAGCTGATGATTCACCAGTCATTTTGGTGTCAGATACCCGAGACCTCTTGGCAAATGTATTCCTCATACTGGTATTGGGTAACATTTTCGGTGAATTTGTTTGATGTCCCTCAGTAGTTGCATTACTCACAAACTTCTTAGGGGTTATCCCAATTCCAGTATTTTCCTCAGAAATCATCTTACTGGATTCCAAGTTGGAAGCTGCATGTCTATCATTTTTCATGGTGTGAACATTCTGCAGTCTTCTGGAAATCCTACTCGCTCCATCTGTAAGAACTTTGTCTGAAGAATTTGTTCTGTGTTCTGCTGCGTTTACACTATCAGGGCCATCTTTAGCTGTTTCACCAATGTGCTTGTGAGCAATCATTTTATCAGGCTCTGACTCAGAAACCACTGTCTTAGTCTTACCATCGTCAACTACTGGCTCATCAACCACCTTGCTAGCACTACGAGGTCTCTTTGTGCTTGCTTTCATTCCTTTACGAGATGCTACTTTCTTTAAATAACCTGTTTGGCGCAGAACATTGTTTGAAGTACCTGGAAAGTCTTTAAGCTGGTCTGCTTTTATATTTTCATCAGGTACCACTTTCTCAGGCTTGCAATTTGAAGCCACTGCTGCCTTATTTTTTTCAATATCAAGTGCATCAGACATCTCAGTATCACCATTTCCAGAAGAGGGAACAAGTTTTGATTTCCTTGAACTGTGTAAAGATATGTCAGATGTTCTGACCTTTGCAAGAACGTTTTCTGTCTTGCGCATCAGTGGCGAGCCATCTTGATTCAATGCATTACCACTATCTTGTGCATAATCACCATCCTTGTTTTGAAAAGAGAAATCTGGACATCTCTTTACATCGTGAACAGTGGCTGAAAGGCTTGTGGCGAGCAATTCTTTTGGTTTCGGTGGAGGCTGCGCATTTGTCTCACTTGAAGAATATTCAGGGAGCTTGATTCCATCAACCAGATTACCATGCTTGAGTGCAGTCCTAGATCTTGATTTAGATGAGCCAGACTGTTGCTTTCCCAAATCAACATTATTAGCTTCACTTGGATTTGTTCCTACAGATGACCAAATTGCTGGTTCAGATGTGTCACTAAGCCTATTTGCAGAAGGAGAGTTCAACGCACCAGTTTCTTTCCCCGTATCTCCATTTTGCACTTTGAACAAAACTGGGGAAATGGAGCACTTCTTTTTTTGGGAATATGCACCATCCAGTACATTCTCATCCTGTATATTTTCACCACCTTTCAGAACCTGGACGCCAGCTAGATCAGCAATTATTTTATCTCCCTTACGTGCTGTCGAGATACTAGAATCAGATCTCATCATGCTCCCATCAGCCCCCTGAAGTGGTCCTATACGGTTAGCTGAATATTGTTCAGGCAGTACCGACTTCTCTAAGGGTTTCAAAGAACTTTTGTTGTTGATGTTGAGCGAAGCATTGTTTCCTGACTTCAAACCAATATTATTATTGGTGACATTGTCATTAATGGTTGACTGACCAGCTGCTGCATCAGGAGTACATGTGGCTCCATAATCCTCTTGACTTCGCCCTCTGGCAACATTAGATGAATCAAGTACATTTGCAGGCAGAATTTCTCTGGATGGGGTGGTCAAGTCAGCTTTGCTAGCATCAGTGTCGCCATGATCCTCCACAAAATTTGTCTTGTTTAAGGAATGCACGTTATGGTTAGCAGAAACAACCATCTTGCTTGAGCATGGAGTGCCTGATGCACCGGATGTAACATCAAGTGTCTTTGTGCCAACATCTTTGTGTTTATTCCCCTGGATCTGATCTGCATTTTTCAAATCTCTTACTGCAGCATCCCCTCTACTATCACTATGAATAAATGGAATCTGACTGGGTGTGCTAAAATCAGTGTTAGCAGACATTGCCAATCTAGTTCTAGGAGTGCCTTGGACTGCGACATCATGTATCCTGTTGACGGCATCTTCTGCTTTCCTGATCTCTCCAGGAATGTTCGGCTGTTTTTCCAAAACCATCCCTATATTACCACTCGAAATAGTCGGTGACCGAATTGGTGCATTCACAACAGGGTTGGCAGAAGTTCCCGCGCTACCTTTTGGGTTCAGAGTGGATCTGACAATCTTATTTCTAAATGATCTTTGGCCTACATCTTCTTCATCTTCTGAGTCCTTGGCTTGCGCCTCCATTATCTCTAGTTCCCAACTACTGAAAGAATAAATAGTCAGCATTAGTACATGAGAAATCCATAAATAGATTCCCAAACTAGAACAAGCAAACTCCCTACAATGAGTTACAGTGGATTGAGAACTCAACACAGGAATACAACACAGGTTCAAAAAAGATCTTCAAAGAAGCAAGCACGGATTACATACCTTTTGCTGTAATCATCTACTGGAAGAATTTTCCAACACTTTAAGCTGCCATTTTAAAAAAAAAACAAAAAGGGAACAGTTAAATTATATAATAATCTGGTTAACATGTTTACTTCAACTGAAGTTGGTAAAGAAAGGACGCTGTGTAATACCAGTCTTCCAACCACCGGTGATTAACAAGTTTGATGTTAAAGTTGAACTTCAACTTCGCCTTTTTAGCAGCCTCATACTTCTCACCTAGTTCATTTGGAAACTGAGATGTGGCATGAAAAGAGATACGGTAAAATTTTGTTTCATCATAAATATATACGTGTAGAAAGAGATGATCGTTAGCAGTCCTTCTGATAGGCATGCCCTGGTATTTTTTCAACATACTAGAGGAAATAATATTTTCTTGGATGCTTTCTAACCAGCAAAAAACATTTTTTATGATATACATTCAAAAGTTTCTGAAGGTTTTCATTTGTATACTACTATGCCTAAACGGAAAAAAAAAACACCATGACCATGAGATTAGTTTCTACATGGTTCACAAATAACAAACAAAAGAAAATGAAAAAAACGCTTGAAGTTACATGGTCCAAATTTGAGAGAAATTATGAAGTTACATGGTCAAAGACTGGCCGAACAAACAAGCAATACAATGCAAGTTTAATGTGAAGTATGTTTATCTATATGTAGCACCAATGGACTGCTAAGAGTAGCAACAAACCTTCAAATTTATAGCAAATAAGGTGAGTGACTACGTCTGGATTCAAAGATTTGGAGAATTGCGCTCCCATCAAAGAAACCATGCTCTGCAAAAACAAAAGGAGAAAAAAAGGAATGCTTCACTATAAATAAATATAATTGGGCAACCACAAATCCAACAATATTAAAGATTATGTATGAATGCAACGTGATACTTTCTTGAACTCCTGATATATAACACCATTCACTCTATATTAAATGAGAGAAAGGCCCATGGGTCTTCTGGCTAGCACCACAAGCTGTGGGCTAACCGACCCGGGTTCGAGCCTCACCTCTCTCTTAATAAATTTCTATATGAGAGTCATTCCTCTTATATCCAGCATTTTTTTCTATAATAAATGCAATGACATTTATAAATCTCTAGATTTGCTTAAGGATGTGGTCCACAGAAAATATGTACACAAACATCAGCGTACATATAATAAATGCAATGACATTTATAAATCTCTAGATTTGCTTAAGGATGTGGTCCACAGAAAATATGTACACAAACATCAGCGTACAGAACCAAGTGCACTGAGGAAAAAATAACAGGGGTTTCTACAATATGCTCAAAATAACAGGGGTTTCTACAGAGGAAAAAATAAGCAATAATTATGTCTATAAAGATCTAAAGAAACTAGGAGGTAAAAGAAATGCAAACACCCAAAGCAATCCATTGCCCCTTGTACAAATATGTCAGATAGATGAAACATGCATTACATAATATTAATGTATTACTGCAGCTGTTCATTACTTGTTAATAGGTGGAACGCAGTTCTTTCTACTCAACTAAGCAAAGAGATATCCATCTGCTCCTGAAGCATATTAACCTTACTGTTACATGTTGAGGAAACACTCACTCAGATTTCAACTGCAGTAAGATCAAATATTTTCAGAGATAATCTAGGACGCTGCTAAGAAACCACAAACAACATTCTAGGATTCAGGACAGAAAATTTCAAAATGGTGTGACAACAAATCAATTAAAGACACATAATAAACAATAGTATCAGAAAACACAAGGAACGGTAGATTATATGTAAAACCGTATGCAGCAGAATTTTGAACTAGCAAGTTTGTTTATTACCATTATATCTTCGCGGTCACTTCTTTGGTAGCCCGTCAAGCAAATGCGTAATGATTCACTGCCTGCTATTCCATTCAAATCTCGCACCGGCCAATACATAACCTGGAAAAAGAACAATCAGTGCTGCAGTGCCGCTTCAAAAACCTAAACCAGCAATATATGGAAACAAAAGCGGCCATATGACTGCATTGAAAGGTGCACCCTTTTTAAACGAGCTTAAACAACTTGAGTTTTTCTAGTCCGATTGAAATACCATTTTATTTTCTGTACCATATTCTCAGAAACGCCATGCTAGAATTTTCAGTACATCATTGGAGGTTAAATTTTTCGGTGTATCACAGGAAGTTACAATCTTCCGGTATCTCACAACAACTATAGAAAAACTCAAACAAATTTGTGGCTGATGCGAAAATAGGAGCAAAAGATACGCAAACAATTAGCAGAAAGACCGACCCTATCGGCATCGGCAAGCATTCCCCGATCCAAGCTAGCTTCCACCCAAAGCTCGGTGACGACCTTTTTCCCTTCCGCCCGCGCCGCCACGCATGCCGGGTCATCCTGCCCAAAAACCAAAATCACACCATGGCCCCCCAACGAAGTCGCCAACACATCAGCACACAGAACCGTAAGCCCGACTCACATAGACGAGGCCGCAAACGATGACGTGGGTGCACCCGCTGCCGAACCTCCCGGCGTCCACGCCGCTGCGCCGCACCATCTCCGACCGATACTGCGAGAACGCCACCAAAAGTACCAAAACATCATCCCCCAGAGACAACCGAGGCGAGCCACCGCGAAACCCCCGAGCTCGCGGGCCGGGGGGGAGAAGCTACGCGCTCACCTGGGACTCCGAGAGGGGGTCGAACCCGACGAGGAAGAAGCGGACGCCGGCGAAGAGGTGCTCGTCATCGTCGTCGCTGCCGCTGATGGGAGAGGCCATTGATGCGAGGGGGCGTCTGGATCGGAGCAGGGGCTAGGGTTTGTCCCTTTGATTTGGGGATTTCTACTTCTCCTCCTCCGTGTTCGCGCCCGCGTCTTCGTGTGTCTTACCGGGGAAGATTTCGATTTTGGGGAGGGGAAAGGAGAGAGAGGGAAACTGGGCAATTTTTTGGGTCTGTGGGAGGGAAATTGGAAATTTTCGACCTGCCTCGTGGGCCTCGATGTTCTTGTCGAGTTGATTGTGATGGGCTACAGGTCGGACCATTTGTTCGAGTCGTTTCTTGGCCCATGAAATAAGTTTGCGACATTACATTTAGATTTAGGCACATAAGATTTTTAAGATAAAAAAAATTCAATCATTAGACAAAAGGGGATGTAGCTCAGATGGTAGAGCGCTCGCTTAGCATGCGAGAGGTACGGGGATCGATACCCCGCATCTCCAATTTTCCGTTTTCCATTTTGGTTAATGTACTTCTTAGTTATTTTTATTTTACTTCATTATCGTTTTTGGCTAATATACTTTCTTTTTTTTAACTTGTGGCCTATTTTGGCTGTGGCTGATATACTTCCGTATTCTGATCATTTTCTAATATATTTCTGAATTATTTCTTTTTACTCCATTACCGTTATTGGCTAATATACTTCCTTTCTTCTTCTTTTTTAACTTGTGGTCCATTTTGGCTGTGGCTGGTGTACTTCAGTATTCCGATCATTTTCGTTACCCATTCTGGCTAATTTACTTCTGATCATTTTTATACTCCGTTGCCTATTTTGGATAAGATACTTTTTGCCGACTGCATCCCACTCGAAGCCAAATTGCGTGTTTCGTTTTTGTTGGAGCTAGCTCCTAATCCCAACCAAAATTATGCTACCACGTGTTGCGCTCTCTTCATCCGCCCTACGCGCCGCCAAGCTCGCGCAAGCCTGATTAAATTAGTCTTCCTCGGTGATGGCGGCATCGCCGTCGATCGTCACCGAGTTCAGGATCCAGTGCCACGTCCAAACACTTGATACCGCACAACGAAGCACACATGACCAAATAATAGGTTTTTAGATGTGTTGTGGCGAGCAATACTAGCAGTTTTGCAACAACCCCACCCACAGAAACACAAGGAGGCGAGTTCTTTATTTTTCTTTCTTTCTTCTCTTTCTTTCTCTTTTTTTTTTCTTTTTAAGAACAAGGCGAGAGGTTCAGAATGCATATCATTTTGCAGTCATTCGCGCGTGCTTGCTTTGGGGGTGATTCAGCTGTACTTTTACTATTAATTTGGAAACAGGAAACGATATAAGGAATTAGCGGAAGTTTGTTGATCAACCGCATGTACCTGTTTCCAACTTGGTGAAAAAGAAGATAATCCGTTAGCTATTATATGCAGCTTGTGGTCAACTGGGATGCTAAAATATTGTGGTTTTCAGTTAAGATTACCCGGCGTCGATTTCGACAGGTCAAACAGGTTTATATATACACTAGTATTAGTGTCCTTTTTCGGTACCACAACTAATCAGAAATTTGCCTTTTCCTGCATGCCTGATCTCGCTGTGTTTTTTCAGAAGGGGTGTATTTTGTCTGTTGTGGTCATTGTGCCGATGGATCGTCAGTGTCCATCCAAACACTTTCTTCTTGCAGCTGCGGTCATCTTTTGCATGACAATCCCCTCCTGCAAAGGTACACGGAAGAGTAGCTTAGTCACTTACTGTTCACTGAAGCCCCCCAGGTTGCATTGCTCGCTCGCGTTTTCGAAGGCTAATCAACAGTTTGATTTTGTCTGACACTCGCATGCAGCACAAGATGCAGTTGAGATCGTAGCAAAAGCGGCTCTTTGCTTCGACAACCACACGGTAAGAAGAAAACTGATCGAGGCTGCCTAGACATCAACTCGATCTCTCAAGCAAGTACTGTAGTATACAGCTAGCTAATAATTAACATTAACATGGTGATCGATTTTGCTTAACTAGGTGATCAACAAGTGCCTGCAGCAAATTGGGATCGACAGCAACGCGAGGGCTTCAACGCAAGGCGCCGGCGGCGCGGTACTGGACGCGAGCGCGAACGCCAGCGCGGCGCTCTGCGACACGCCGTGCTTCGAGCACATGTTGATGATGACGGACTGCATGGACGACATCCTCTCCAACTTCCAGGGATACAGCGCCGGCCTCATCAAGGGCTACCGCGCCGTCTTCCAGATGTCGTGCAGGGTGGTCACCGCTGCCGCAGCTGGTGGCGGCGGCAGCAGCAGCAGCAGCAATGGCACCGCCAACGCCACCGTCGCCGGCGGCGGCGACGCGGACGATCGCCACTCCCCGTCTCATGGTGAGACATGCTTTATATTTTTGTTACGATCGATCGAACTGGCTAGGGCGCCTGCCATGCATGGAATGTGACCTTGATCTGCCTCGTCGTTCGTGCAGGCGCGGCGAAGGGTAATTCGCTTGTGTCCAGAACCGGAAGCGCCGTGGCGAACGGCGCCGGCGGCCGACGACTTCGCGTCGGCAACCTTGTGTGGGCGGCCATACTTGCGGTGACAGTGTGACGCACATGACCAACCACTTGTAATAGCGAGCAGCCTCGCAGAGCTAACTGGGATAATTAACTCGTAATGATCCCCAAATGCGTGCGTATGTACGCCGGAATGGACGGAAATGTATGAACAAGTGAAACAAAACATATCCATGAGTCGAGGAACGTACGCACGAAAATTCCTTGTAGGCCCCTCGTACGTTCTGGAATCCCGATGCATCATCCAAGATGAATTATTGAAGAATGTTTTTTCACCATATAAACAACCTAACACGAATGTGTAGTAGTACTAAAGTAATCGATACTGTCACGGTACCACCAAATCCGGCGAAAACGAGAGCAACGTTTAACGCCGGGTTTGTTTTTTCCCACCAAAAAGCGGCAAACATTTTCGATGGATCGGCAGGCGTTTTGTCCGACAACTTTTGGGTTTCTCGATCGAGAAGCACAAGGGGTTTGAAGCAGCAGTACAGACCGAGACGCATGGAAAAGGAGGAGACTGGTGCAGGTAGGCCTGAATTCGCCGCGCGTACGTTTCGTCTTCGGCCTCGTCTCGGCGTGTGCTCCTTAATTAAACCACTGCATGCATGCACCCACCCACCATGGTCTATGGCATTCGTAACGGATTGAACGCCACCGGCTCGACCGCCGATGCCCAATGGGCCTCTCCGCCGCTCGCCTCAGCCGCTTCGCCGTCGTCGTCCTACTCCTCTGCCTGTGCGCGCCCTTCTGCAAGCCAGAGCCAGGTGTGCGCACGCCGCGGCGCGCTAGTCTCTCCAATTAATTAGTCTCATTCTGAATTTCTGATGTGTGGAACGCCTTTCTCCTGGCTCCGTGACAGATGGTGACGTGCCGATCGACCCCTTGCCGGGCTTGCCATCGAGATCCCTGCGCTGCTTCGACGACGGCCAGGTAGCGAACCATCATCACTACGCCCGACGCGCGCGTACCGCGTACGCGCGTCTTTGTTCGCGCACGCGCTGAGCCGCCGAGTGAACGCGCGTGCAGGTGTACAGCTGCTGCGAGGGCGCGTACAGGCTGAACCCGTCGGGGGTGATCGCCGTGCCGCCCGGGGAGGTGGACAGCTACTGCGGCGGGGCGTGCGTGGTGGAGACGGAGGACGTGCTCAACTGCGTGGCGAGCGCGCTGGACGGCTTCCGGTTCTTCAACGGCGCCTCCGTCGAGGACGCGCGCTACGCGCTCAGGAGGGGATGCAGCCACACCATCAAGAGAGGTTCGAGCCGCGCCGCGCCGCCGTGCATGTGCCTTCCGTTGATTTGCCTCTCCTCTCGCGTCTCTCTTTGTTTTAGCTGGCTCTTTTCGCGCAGGGGACTTCAACGACTTGGAGCCGCAGATGGGAGACTACCCGGACATCTACGGCGACAACAGCAGCGACGGCGGCGAGGACAACGCCGCTTCGCCGCGTTTGCTCGCGTTTCTTGGCGCCGCCGCCGCCGCCGCATGGCTGCTGCTCTTTGGTCGCTGAGCAGGTTGCATCGGCGGCCTTAAAGACTGACGCTGTCATGCTACTCCGTACTGATCAGGCCTACTCCGTACTGATCAGGCCGGTTTTAACGGTGTTAATTCAGTGCTGATTTTGCTCTCAGTATAAGCCTCAAGTGCCAAATTAAAGTCTTCATGCACACAAATGCAACATGCAACAAAAAGGCCTTAATTTATAAAAAGTAAAGTACAAATAATTAGAATCTAGTTTTACTTTTACGCAACACAAACGACGAGAAGCCGGCCAAAAAATATTGAAATTGAAGAGGGTTCGGTTATAGTGATAAACAACAGGGTTGCTGGAAAGAAAATCTAAGCATCGCGATGCTATGATACATAAAAGCACAGCTGTATATCGAGCAGGAACAAACACTAGTGTGCCTACTGCCCTACTATATATAGGGAAGAACAATACTACTAGCTATTACTGCAATACTGCGTGATCATCGTGCCTACTCGGATAATGATTTACAGAGTCTCAGTTATACGGCTTTAGTATGTTTTGATGTTGGGGGCCATTATGCCAGTTAATTGAATCAGACCTTCACCTCACATATCTATATCGAATATATAACAACTCCATCCATTTCAGGTTATAAGACGTTTTGACTTTGGTGAAAGTCAAACTACTTTAAATTTAACTAAAGTTATAGACAAATATAATAATATTTATAATATCAAATTAGTTTCATTAAATTAAATCAATAGTTGAATATATTTTCATAATAAATTTGGCTTGGGTTAAAAATATTATTATTTTTTTCTACAAATTTAGTCAAACTTAAAGCAATTTGACTTTGACCAAAGTTAAAATGTCTTATAACCTAAAACGGAGTGAGTAATAGATGGCGTGTGTGTGTGGAAAATTGAATATAGCAGTAATCTTTACAACGTCAAGGATACGTCCCCCCCCCCTCCCCCTCCACCACCACCTCTCTTTCCCCCAACACCAAAAAAAAAAGAAGAAGAAGAAGAAAAAAGGAAGTAATGTTAGGCAAGAGGATAAATCTCATTATCACGAATAAATTCGAGAAAATAATCTAATGATGAACTATATCAAGGCAGTAGAATCCTATATTGATATTAGCAACACCAATTCACCAAAGATATAGTTTACCAAATGTTGTTATGTAACTTGAGAACATTTACCAACTGTCAATAGTAACCATCGAGATGCGAATCATTAGTCAGAATAGATACAAAGCTCCCAATGTTCACACTCTTTCCACTAAAGTTGTATTCCTAACTGTGAGGTTTCTAACAATTGGGTTAAAATGTCAATTCGAATTAAGGGATATTCTACATTTATCAACTTTCTAAATAATCAATCCTCCCATGCTTCATAACAATATATAATATAGATTAAACATGAAAGATACAGGTTAATGTAAATCATGTTGAAAGATCCGGACACTGAAGTTTTACGAAGATAAAAGTGTGCATCACAATGTTATAGCTCCAGCATAGCTTACCATAAGGCCACCAAAACTCCTTCAATCAAAATCATGTAGTTCCAGATGTCGAAGTAGGTATGAATTGACAATTTGGCCTTCACCAAAGGCCCAAGAGATGCCACAAGAAGGTAGAACACGAATCCCATAAGGGTATGTACAATATTATCTAATAATAGATTCTCTTCATTGTCATACAAGTTTCGTGACGTAGAAGAAAAAGAGGGAAGGAAGGAGAAACATCGTTTCTATGCATGAAAACGGCTTAGAATCGACTCTTAGAATTTATTAACGGAAAGTTTGTTGCATGAGGGTGGAGAAAATGAAATAAGTATAATAAAAAATTATTTAGAAATCTTATTATCTATGTAGTGATATTAATTAATATAAAGAGCTCATATTAGACTTTATCTTCGTACATGTCATAAGGCCTGTGAATCCCTAGATTCCGGCGACAACTCCATTGATGATTGACACGAATGTCCGACTGCATGGCAAATTAAAGAAATCCTCCCGGTTAAGACATACTTGGTATAAAAATGAATCAGTCAAATAATTATTAATATCTAGAATGCAGAAAGGGATAAATAAAAAGAGATAATAATGGGAGGTACTCCGTATCTAACACCTATCGGAGCATGAAGCAGAAAAGCACACGAACATGGAAAACTTTCAGTTTATGCATCGATAATAGTCTTTATTAGCGGTCTCTCTTTATTGTCATGCAAGCATATTTAGTGATGTGGAAGAGAGAGGAAGAAGAAAAGAGAAAGATGGTTGCTACGCATGACAACGGCATAGAGTCGACTCTTAGTATTTATTAGGAAATTTTTTGTTGCATTGCGTCTAATAAAGGAAAGATGACTAGTAAACAAGTATTTTGATACATTAATGATTAGAGACCGTATTGTCTTAACTACTGTAACGTGATAGTCTCTAATTAACGTAGAGGCCATACCGGTCTCTACCTTTGTACTTGCCCTAAGAGACCATGGTCCATGTTCACCGATTACTCTAATTCGAGTAGAACCAAGTATAAAGTGTGCTATTTGACCCACAGTTTCTGGCATTACGAACCGGTCAAACTACACCCCCAGATTTCAAAATTGTAGCTGAAATAGCGGAGGCATGCGTACAGTGAAACCACCAGGTCGCACAGTTCCGGATCGAATCGAAAGAATTCGTCAACCAATATCGCACAAACAAATCACATATCCAACTCAACGAGTATGACCGTACCCAATTTTTCTGATCAGATCGAATCCTAAATTAGGTTGGTGAGGATAACGAGAGGAACCTGTAGTAGATGGATTTGATGTTGCTGTTCTCCGAGTGGAGGATGGGGACGTCGGCGGAGATCCCGCCACCGGTCGCCGGCGCCGCCATCGATCTGTTTGTTTCTCTTCGCAGATTATATAACAGATTATTAGAGGCCGAGATCGTATCGCGGTGGCGGCACCAGTGCAAGAGAGGGGCAGGTGCGCAATAACCTAACTCGCCCACCCGCCGCATGGAATTTTTTTTATTTATAATTTTTCTTATTAAAAGTTTTACAAAAATAATTTTCCATTTTGAAAATTGACGGAAATAGTCGCCTACCGCTCTCTGGGAGGGCGATTTTTAAAAATCGCCCTCCCAGAGGGCGGCGAAAATGACGTGGCAGACGGCCGTTCGCTCTCGGGCGACGGCCGTCAACGAAATTTGCAGGCGGCCCCCTTGCCGCCCTCCGCGAGGGCGATTTTGTACTGTGCGGAGGGCCGCCTGCAAATGGGCGGCGAGGGGGGGCATGGAAATTTGCAGGCGGCCCCCTTGCCGCCCTCCGCGAGGGCGATTTTGCACTGTGCGGGGGGCCGCCTGCAAATGGGCGGCGAGGGGGCATGGAATTTTGCAGGCGGCCCCCTTGCCGCCCTGGGGGAGGGCGATTTTTGCCTCCCCCTTATAAAGCCCAGCCCCTCCCCTATGAAATTTCATTATATTCACTAAAAATCCAAAAAAAACGAAAGAGAGAGAGAGGGGAGGGCAGCAGAAGGGGAGCGGCGAAGCCCTGCTGGTTCGCTCACTTCATCACAGGTATGCTCCCATACATCTTTTGCATTTGTACTAATATATTACGTTTGAGTACATATGTTGCGTTTTAGTTTTAGTTCCATATATTTTAGCAGATCTGTAGCACACAGCACATATGTGTAGATCCAGAGCATAGAATATAATAGTATGAATTGAGACATAGACAGTAGTGTTAATTGTAAGATGTAGTTTAGTTTGATCTGGAGAATGTAACCTACTTTTAGAAATTTAGAGAACAATATTGTAGAGAATGTAACTTAGGGCGTAGTACAGAAATGCGAGGTTAACGCAGTTATTGTTTTCATCAGGCACAATGTCAAGTAAGGTCACATTTCAGATAGTTCACGGTGAAGGAAATATTAGATTTGGTCCAGATGGTGTTGATCTGTCAGATTTTGTAATGACATCTAAGGGCATCGATAGGCCTGCGGAGAGAACATTTCAGTCAATTTATAGTTGGTTGTTGAGAGGATTTAGAATAGACCAAGAAGTCTACACAATGTCAGTATCTGTTGTAGTGAGTCGTGCAATAGAAGGTTATTTTTGGGAACTAATGCCGATGGACAGCACTGCTGCTTGGAGACGGTATGTGGAAATGGCTTTTGAACGGTCATGGCCCCTCGTTATATTTGTGTCGGTACAAGAGAAAGATACAAATGTTTCAATGCAAACCGAAGATGTGGAGGGTCCTAGCAATGCAGGGGATGTTGTTGGACCATCGATGCAAAATGAGGAAAATCAACCAAGGGAGGAGCAGGCCATGGGCATGGCGGATGAGGGGGAGAGAGTCGGTATAATTGTTGATGAAATGGAGAGGGAAGATTCGGATAATGAGCAAGCGGAGGACGACGCATCATCCGATGAGGAAGGTGATGTAATGGCCACTGATTGGGCAAATGAGGACTTCTCTGGTCTTGTTATATCAGAGGGTGATCATGTACCCTGGGAGTATAAGGAGTACGAGGTAATTGAGGGTGCAAGGTATGCTCATAAGGATGAGATGAAGGAGGCGGTGAAGCATTGGGCAGTTTCATTGCAGAGAGAGTTTAGGGTGGTCAAGTCAACAAATTATGTGTATGAAGTGAGGTGCATGAAGGAAGATTGTCCGTGGCGTGTCCATGCATATAAGGGTAAATGGAATGATTATTGGAAAGTTAGCATTGTGACCGAGCACAAGTGCTACTTACAAGGGGTGGAGAAGTATCACCGAAACATCACTTCAGCTTTTGTGGCAAGTGAGATGTACAGCAGTGTTGTTGGTAACATTGGCTTTGAACCAAAATCAATTATTAGGCACATCGAGAACAAATTCAAGTACACCATAAGCTATGCAAAGGCCTGGAGAGCCAAACAAAAGATCATTGAGATGAGGTATGGCACATTTGAAGCTTCTTATGATAATTTGCCTCGTTTGTTAGCCACCATTGCCCAGAGGAATAATAATACTTACTATGACCTACATACATTTACATCGGTTGAAGATAGAACAAAGAGTGTGCTGCAAAGAGCCTTTTTCTCATTGGGTGCTTGCATCAATGCTTTTGTGCATTGTCGACCTGTTCTATGCATAGATGGAACTTTTATG